TTTAAATGCATGCTATACCTACATTGTGTCTTTATTAAAGAATTTATTTTCCTTAATCATTTGACTAGTAAATTCAGCCGCATTGTGTCTTTATTAAATAATTTATTTTCCTTAATCCTTTGACAAGCAAATTAAGCCACATTGTTTTATTTGTTTTCACGAGGTCTATTCAACTGAAGTCAACTAAACAGGAGACAGGAGTTGCCCACAGTTTTATTAAAAGTTTATTTTCTCAATTTTTCACACGGAGACAGCATATTTTACGCGGTGCTGCATGCTTTTAAAGGAAACGATGACACCTTTTCCTATGATATTCCACCAAGTGCCAAAACGGCTTGCATACGGGAAAACACTTAATGCTTTCCCGTAGTTCTGTGTTTTCATCGTGAAATCACAACTTTTGTTTCGACATCAGCAAGACGAGTTGACTTTGGCCTATAGTTAGCTAAACTCATACTCCATCTTGAGTTTCATGCAGAGCTGCTTTAATATGATCGATGACGCATTTTCCTGCACATTTTGACAATGTTCCAAAAATGTGCTGATGAAACACTCGTGAAAGGTTATTTTGTCACGTATTGTATTAATATGCCGTTTTCAATTAGACTTGCAACGAAGAACGAAAAGTAGGACTTCACTTGTAACATAAATACAGGTTTTATCGTTTTCTATCTTCTTGTGAGACTCTAAGAGCTTTCACTTTGCATTAATGGTGACATGTGTAAATTAAAATACTCGTTTTTATAGAGGATATTGTCATGACTTACCTGGTTATGGCAGTTTGGGACGTTTTTAGTAAATCGAATGAAACCGTCGTCAACTAGTTCGTCCGAGGATAAACAAATAGACGTTTTAACCTTTCTGGTTCTTTTTTTTTTTTAATCCTCGCAAGGCTGAATTGGCTTCTTTTACATTGTATAAAACGAAGACATGATACTTCGATATTTACCTGTTTGTTCTTCACATTGAATAATGCAGTATGTAGACCACATTTCCGCCTTTGTCTCAACTTTCGATGTTTCACAATAAATTATCGATGTTTCACAATTATGTAAGCTTTGATGTAGCTCTAATTTTAAAAATCGATGTCATGCATGTTTAGTCAACATGTTAATAATTACCAATTCCGATTACGAGATTGGGGCAGATACGAAACGAATTTTCCAAAAGTATACGCATCTGAACGGACAAGTTTCGTGAATGTGACTACAGGAAGACGATAAGTGAATTGCACCGCTCGGGTTTCGAATTTCAGCTTTAGCTGCACGGGGAGTTCTTAACATCCAACAAATCAATTTCGTAAGCCGGAAATTCAGCCAAAGTTGCACCATTCATGCATACTCTAATCATACCTTCTGTAAAAGCGCTGAGAAAAAACGCAGATGTATCGTGTCGCGTCCCAGCTAGTCATACTTAAAACAATCAGGCTTGATTAAAAATCATTCCTATTTTTTTCTTCTTTACATCCTCATTTGTTAGCCTTTCTGCCATCGGATTTTAAAAGTTACAAGTTTGCCGAGTTCTCATTTTAAAGATATTAAAAGTCGAGTCACTTTCTCCATACACCGGTCGACGCCGCGTCTGAGCTAACCTGTGCAGCTCACACATGGCATGAACCTTCAGAGAAAACGGTGATCACGTGATCAACTTGTCATTGGATTTTGCTGCGTGTCTGTCTGGATTGCGTGGCTCGCTAGCTTTGTGCTGTACAATGTGCAGTGAAATAGGGGCCCAACGTGCGCATGCTTCACGCAGTCTCGTAAAAAAAAAGAGGGAAAGCTCTTCCGTGTTTCCACTTTTGGAGACCCCCTGGTGCCCCAATTCGCGCCATAACAGGTAAATGCGGAACTCTGTAATGTGACCTTCCTTTATTCGTCTGGCGGTGAGTATTGGACTCTGTGTTTTGGGCGGGAAAAGGGCGAATTTTTGGCGCGAAATGGGCTGTCTGGTCGGCGGTGTAGTCACAATTAAAGATGGCCGCTCGCATGGGGTATGGGAATCGGAGTGTGTCGCAGCTTCGCTAAACTTGAGATTGTTTGTTGTATTTTGTTGAAACGAACCGGCTGTTGCATAGGCTAATTTAGAAAAAAAGTCTTTAATTAGATGGATATTTTTTAGCGTCCTCAGAGCTGGGAAGTTAGTTGTAAGGACTGTTCATCCTGGAATGACATGGAGAAAGAAAATCGCCAAGCTATTAATAGCATTTTTTTATGTGTTAATATCCAAGGCTCATCTTTTATTGAGAACTGAGATTTCAGTGCAACTGTCTCGTGCCAATTATATATAAACCAGCTTTCGTATATAGTGGTTTGAATACATCCGGGATACATCCTGATATTGATAGTTGACGATTTTCATCAACAAACAGGCTACGGGACTATGTGAGCTTAGCAATTACTAAGAGTTGTATTTCCTTTTTCCTCCTTAAAGAATTATTCGTCATGATCATCATCATCTTGTTATTGTTGAACATTGCTCATGCAATCATCTGACGAAGTCAAGAACAGTGCTCTAATAGCGGAATATATGCTGGCAAAGTTGGGGAAAACCCAAACTTGTGTAGATTTGATGTCACCCGGAATAGAATTTTAGATATTCAAAATGCTTCAATATGATGGGGTTTTTTTTTTCACAACAGTTTTTGAAGTACTGCTTGTTATCCCAGTGTTGCATTAAACCAGGAATTGTGGTGTTTAAAGTCAACAAGGGACTTCACGGGGAAGGTTTCCATGCGTTTCCAAATATTTCGGGGAGTTTTGTAAACAGTTGTCTGAGAGTTACATTTCGGATTCACTTCTTGTTTTGGTTCGTCATCTTTCCGCTTTGGGACTGAAATAGCACGGCGAAATTTGGAATACTGTTAGAATAATTGGAACTTATTGCCTGCAATTTACATGATTTTATTCATTTTCTATACATTTTAAGAACGATTAAAATGGATTTGAAATTATATTTCAGAGTGCGTGATTATGTGTGCTTGTTCTGTATTGTGATTTGTTTATTTGTAATAAAATTGCTTTCAAAAAGCAGTGTGTATTTGTTTGTACGTTAGTACTTCAATACTATACTTTTCTCGGATTAAAAAATTGATTTGAAAAAAACCCAGATGATTATTGTTTCGACCATCGCTATTTCTGCAGACCAGGGCTTCGAGGAAAAGTGATTTTGTGTCAAGGTGAATTCACCAACCTAATTATAGTAGTTTAGTGTTTCATGTAACTCTTCCTAGAAAACATATTCAATAAGTATTAATATCATAACAACGATTAAATAATCTGTCGGTTCTTTAATGAAAGAAAGTCCCTTTATGAAGACTGATATTTCTTTGTAACACGTCCTTTTTAAGTCTGAGAGGAATAGACTGAAAAAAAGAAATTATATTTAGCAACACTCATCAATCTGCCAAAAATACACCTAGTTTATTATATTCCTGTTTCGCACTTATTAAAAAAATGTGTAATGTTTTAATACCGTGAAGCCAAGCGACATTTTTGGAGGGGGTTAAAGTGTTGGACAAAGGACTGTTGGTCAAGCTATAAACGTTCAATAAAAAGAAGCCACATTTTCAGAAGCTCTTTGTCTTATTTGTTAAAGCTCTAAAACATCAAGAGATTGTTATTATGAATAAATAAATACATAAAGACATGACATTTTGACACCTTACATATATGGAGAAAACATCCGAAGCGTACCCCGTAGAATTTGCTATTTAGTAAGGAGTTTACTGTGAAAGAAAGAAATCACACAGGTTTGTGCACTTGGCACACGTCCGCGATGTCAAGTTTGTCTATCGAGATTTGCCTTTATACCATCCTCCTCACAGCAAGACCTAATACCCAGCCTCCGGGCTACTGACCTCTCTCTTACTCGCACCAGGCTAAGCACCCGTCAATCTGCTCGAATAAGTACAATTCAACACTTTCCGGATGTTGGTAATAACTCAACATCAACTCAGAAACAAAAGACGTTTTGTTCTGTTTTGCACATGTACCACAACCGAATGATCAAGATTCTAGCCCACAATATCCGAACTTAAAGTAAACATCAAACTTCGGGTTTTTTTAATGACGTTACAGGCTTAAAATGCTCAACTTTAATTGATAGACCTATGTATCGTTTCTTTTTCAAACAATTCTCTTTTAGAGGCAAACTAACTGCAGTAATCAACCTTTCAGCCTAGGTGTTATTTTGTGGATTCGTGTAAAAATGTATTCATTGTTTTTGTCGTGTATGTCTTCAGACACCTAATGCGCCCTCGTCAAATAAAAAAACATCGTATTTTGGAAAACCAAAGCTGGTCTCATCTTCCCAAGCCATCCCATTAATCGTTGGATGTTTTCGCTTATTTTTGACTGAATTATTGTAGAAGTTTAAATTGATAGTTAACGACCATTTTACCTGAAAGAACTAAGCCAAGATTCAATTTAAAAATATTAGTTGATTTTGTTCGCTAAAGGGAAAAACAAGTTACACTAAGAACATTGGTCTAAATAAAAATTGTTAAACATTTTGAAGCATCCTCGAGCGAGCGAGATGGAACCATTCAGCTTGTGTGAATAAAAAAAAAACAATATTGATGACGAGATAATATTGTTGTTATTCCTGAAATTATGAGCGAGAACCATTTAAACTTATTTACTTTTATAAATCATAAACAACGCTCATATCACCCAAATGCGGAGAATGATTTCAACTCAACAGTTGTCGATTTTTTTGTATGAAGTACCTTTCTTTCTGATGGTTGGAGCCGAGCCAATAAACAAGCAAAATCTGCAGGAGTTTTCCCATGTACATGTAGTCCTTTTCGATAATGTAGAGAATCGTTTCAAACCAATCCACGTAAATCGGATGAGAGCCTAACGTCCTTGTTGCTTGGTCGTTTACCGCGTTCAGCCAGATAGCACCATTCTACGTGTCACACGTTGTACGCTGACACTGTATGGAATCCAGTATGGGTCACGTGATCCCTCTGCACCATTCAGCGCCTCGCCTGTAATGTGTGCACAGCCCACGTACAGTATGTGTCGGTACACAGGGCAGGTTGCACGCACGAGCAACCCTTGTTTTCTCATAGCGTTATACGTTATCCTACACACTGTGTAGCTTCAGACTTCGACGCGGAGAAATAAAAAAATCACCGGTGTTTTCTGCTTTTTACGTCTGACCGCGACGAGTTAACGGGTAACAGTAAGGTAATCCGTTATCTATGTGATGTTTACTGTTTAATTTCGTATGGTGATGTGTTACTTTTACGTATGTATCGAGAACGAAGGGTTTTTTGGGGGTGTGTGGGCCGGGCTTTTTTTGGATGATCCAGTGAGTTTTTACAAGATGGCCGCGCACGTATCGTAAACTGCACAACAATCTGGCTGGAATTGGCCTGAAAAATCCTCATACTAGCCGTTCCTCCCCACGCAGTTTATACGCCAGGTGTAATAAACCACCTGCTAACGAATGGGGAGGTGGGTGTGCCTATTTTGGTCGAAGTCGTCCGAATTGTTTCGTTTTTGGGAGGGTGTCTGGCCGGCGGTTCGGCGAGGTTCTAGACAGGCTCATGGCGGTGGGAGCCCACGCACATCGCCCAGTGCAACCCAGTCGGGAAAGGGTGTCGCGCTCGCCGCGGTTTAACCCAGTTTAGCCCGTACCACTTGCCCTGACCACATTTTACATTACTTAGATTTTTTCTTGATCCTTACCAATCTTACTGTCGTGTTTTCGTTCGTTTTGCACCATCTGGCGCCTTGTTTCACCCACGTTTAACCCACACGAACCCAGATTTTTCAGCACCACCCAATTTCCGCCACCGTCGCGCCAGAAAAACGGTCCAAAATTCATCTTTTTCGTTGGCGACACCCGCTTAAATTGAATATGGTCGTTTAGCCAGATGGTCAACCTTCCCAAATAAATGATATTCGAACCTGTGAATCCACAATGCTGACTTTTATGAACTTAACCTGCGTTGGGTGTTTTTCAATCGGAAATCAGTTCGAGTCGGTGTGTCAGTAATTTTGTAACTTACAGCGTGTGTAGTATGCGCCGTTTTCGCTTTATCATTGTGTCGTCAACGTTCCGGAACAACGAGTATTATGAAGGAAGTAACGATTATTCACAGAGCACATCAGGGACTGATTCTGTATTTTATGAATAAATTTCAACTTTATAATAAATTTACCTTGATATGAATCAAAACACAGTCACATCTTTTATCTTTTTCATAGTTTTGTAGCTAGTGGTCACTGTTTATTGCTTATATCACTGTCATTGCAATGGCGATTTATCTGATTTCAAATAGCTTTTCCAAATCTGCATTGATTGCAATTCTGAACAATATATATGGGGTTATAAACATTTTGTTTGCAATTTTTTTAAGTTATTCTGGATTTTCCTGCTGTAGAGCTTGTTTTTTTTGTTTTTTTTACAATGCTTGTCAAAGTTATCCGAGTTTATTTACTTGTATATAAATTTGTCTTCACGAGTTGTAATGCTCGATGTTAAAAAAAGAGAGATTTAGAAGTAATTTTAGTATCATGAAAATCCCAGTAATTATTTCATTACCTACTGTTATGTAAGTTCGGGTTTCCGAGATAAGTTGACATGCAGATATTGGTCAAGTTCAGAAGCGTTTGTTTTTGTTTGAAAGGAATTCCTTCGAAGAAGCTGTTTTCATTCCAGCAGAGTGACGAAAAAACATGTTGCATGACTAGATCCTGTATATGCGTACAGCGAAGGGGGAAAATGACCGCAAATTGAACGTGCGGACAAAGTGAAATGAAACATTTTGAACTCACTGACAAAATAATGCACACATTCCCCTTTAGGACCAATCGCTTACCAATCATGTGACATGTGTTTGTATTTGCTTGCATTCCAACATGAAAAGTGAAACTTCCAAAAACTAAACAAATAAAATATCAAAAGTGAATAAAACAAACACCCATTTACCTCAGCACATTTTTGTAATCATGGCGTTCGATGTGCGTATTTAAAATGATAATTTGCATTTATTCAATTTGTAATTAAGTCTACGAAATAAAGAAGCCCTCCCGACTATACAGAATGATGTTAAAAAAAAAGCCCATCGCTGTGGATAATTCGCCCTTTCATGAGGGCTTATACATAGGCCTACTAACAAAACTGTGTGGGGAAAACACGAACGTGTGTTTTGTATCCTATGTGCACCTTGGTGTTTCATCCAAAACACAGGAAATAAAATTGGGCTAAACATACATGTTAATAGAGCATGTTGATAGGGACATTTACTATTCTATAATGTGTTTTTTTTTATGAAAAAGCCAAGGTTGAGTAAGTTGTTTTTCAGTACGAGTTATTTTTACACACAAAGCTGAGCCCCAGGCGCGAGCATAATTATTTATCATTCACGCAAACACGAAAAACGGAAAGTTTCATGTTCAAGCAGTCCACGAGACTGAGTTTTTCTAAGGATCATTGTGTTTGGTCACGTGAGTAACTGGTCACGCGAGCAACGCTGTCTTAAATCTTATTTTACCCTCTCCATTAAAATTGGTCCTTAAACACACAGGGGGAAACATATAGCAATAACAAAGAACCAAAAACAAAAACACGTTTGTGTTTGTCAAACACCTTCAGTTCGTACACCAGTCGTTCCCTATTAGGACCTCCGGAACTATTCAACAGTTCAATTATTGATAACTGGTTTAGGAAGCTCAGTCATTTCCCGCCCGATTTCCGTCCTCCATTTTCTTGGTGCAGTTTTTGTTCAGACGTTATCTAAGAAGCCTTTTTGTCAAAGACAATTCCTCAAGAGAATCTGTTGGGCTTTTGAAAGCCTATGCCAGTCATGTAAGACTTCTACAGTTTGAAGTGTTAATCTCACAAGCTTTCCTGATTATTTCCAGGAAACTAAACTTAACTTATCAATCATGAGAAAAAAGTCGAGGAGATAAATTATGTCAGTAGTGGCCATTTTCCTGAAGTTTCCATAGGTTTTTTCCCACCATTAGCATTACAACTTCGCCCGAATCCAACATTATTCTTCAATAAAAATTTCCTTTGAACGTTACAAGTGCAAAATGTTTGGAATATCAGGCTTTGTGTAATGTGATGTTCATAAATAAATGGCCCAACAGAACATCAAACTCAAATGGAATTGAAATGTTTCATTATTCAGTTGTGTCATTATTTTTGTGAAATGGTTTTTGGTTATTCCACTACATTGTAAACCAAATATTTAGAGAATATCGGATGCAGTGAACAGAAATGTTTTGCTAGCTCGACAGTGCCTTAAATCAAGCAAGATCAGATATTGGGTTTGATTGTCATTTGATAATTAAAGGAAGATTTGAAATCTTTTTATTTTCAGTCGAAGCCTCTCTTTCAAGTCGTCTTTTTCTTGTGTACGTTTTTTTCCCCTGATCTGCTCCTAAGGGAAATCAACTGGCACACTGGCATAGTGAAGAAAAAGATAAGGACACAAACAAATAGTAACAGGCAAACAAAATGTTTAATCACTTCTTTGTTATTTAATTATTAATGATAACAACGTCGCGGCACCAGGTGCCTCGGGTGCCTTTTGTCTGATGAGCAAAAATTCAACTCCTGCGTTAATTCTCAGTCCGCTAGAAAAGGATTTGATTTATTTTTGTCAGAGTACAGCATAAAAACGCACATGTATTTCGTTTAAATGTTCCTTTTGTTTTCATGTTATCAAGAAATTTATATTCAATTATTTAAAGAATAGTCATTCCGAACATTAAAATGTGACTGTATGTTTCACTTCGGAGAGCTTTAACTGTTTTTCAGTTAATATTCATTCGACTATTATTTGTTCATGCATTCATATATTTTTGGTCTTTCCCCACACTTTAACTTTGTATTTTGAGGGTATTGAGGCAAAATCAGTGTAAATATCATGAGACTGAAGTCTGATAGAAACAGCTCGTGTGTGGAGACATCGAACTTGTATCAATATTGACTGGTGCCCCTGTCATGTTTGGTTGCAATGCACCCATAATTAAAATCTCAGAACCAGTCATGATAATGACCATTGTGTATTGTAGCATTGGTTATTCAAAAGCAAGTTAGCCGCCAAAATGATGTGTGTTTAAAACTGTACCTGACTGGTACAAACTTTACATTTTAATGCCCAATTATTAAGACATTGAATAGAACATGGGCGTCGCCAGAATTTTTTTCTAGAGGGGGCAAAGCACATTATTTCCCAAAATCCTTGTTCTTTCTCAAGCATATGCTCAATTTATCATATATTTTTTTCGAGAGTGGGCGGGGACATTTGCCCACCCCACCCCCATTGACACCCCTGCGGATACCCATGTTGTTAAATGTGCATTAAATTAACAACAATATGAGTTCGCACCTGTTTTTGTTTTGTTTGTTTTTTGGTTTTGTTTGTTCTTTTTTTTGCTTTTCCGGGGGGGGGGTCCAAGCACCCCCTTGCCCCCCTTGCGACGCCCATTGTATAGAATCTTGCAGTGCTAAGCAAAAGAAGCCGAGAACCTTGCAAAAAGGATTACATAATAAGCTTTACAATCTGGCTATACCTATTTTGCTAAGCAAGTTTCTGTCATTAACAATTTTCTACATGTATTTTGCTTAACTTATTTTGCTCATCAAATATCCATTATTTGCAGTTTTACATATGCTCAGTTGCTCCATGCATGACATTGATCCCAAGTGTGTGTCATGACATTGAGACGCGTATAACTCGCATTATTCTCGTCCACACGTGCATCAAATCGGAGTACCAGTCATTTTTCTCACGAGTTGTTTATTTTGCTTGCAGACTCTACCGGTACCTTCCCATGATGCATCGGCCCACGCGTTTAAAGATCACTGACGTCAATCCCCACCTCATTTGCATATTGTGTGGCGGCTACCTCATCGACGCCACTACGATGATAGAATGTCTGCACTCTTGTAAGTAAACCATTTTAATGTGATGGGAATAAAGTTTTTTAAAAGAGGACATTTTGTTAACACTTGATAAAACAGTTGGCTGGATTGGGTAGAAAATAAAAAAGAACCAAAACGAACAGGCTTTGCTTCGTAGTATTGAGCATGTGAAATTGTGTTGCCTTCTGAATATCAATATTGTCCATGTGCCAATTATATTCATATTACATCATCAAGGCATTATTCGTACGTATGCAGGTCGTAACATTTTTATGACTGTAACCTTGGAGCTTCATTGTTAGAAGGCTTTCCTCGTGAGGCCACATTCGTTCATGACGTGTTCATACTAATGATGCATCCGCGTCAATTATAATGCATACATTTAATTGGCCAATGTGCTCCCGCCCCTTGCAATGCATTGAGTAAAGTGAACGCTGTATCCTTCCCAGCCAAGCCCTATTACTTTCGCCCCTGACCTTTTTCTCTGCGTTGTGTGGTTTGTCAGCAAAACCTTTTGGTAAATCAAAGCTCACCGATGCATAATAAAACTAACCCTCCCACATAATGCCAGTCATATCGAGATCGCTGCACATCATTGCGGAAACAGTCACTTCCATGTCCGAGTCCTGCAATTTGGTAACTATATTAAGTTGCCATTTAAACATAAATTTGGGGGTGTTTTGGGTTTGTGCGAGTAGGTTCATGGTGTAAATCGAGGACACACATGTGCAACATCATCGATGAATTGAGGACAGATACCAAATTGAGGACGACCTCGATTAGAAAACGTGTACAAAACCAATGAGAGCTGTTGCAAAAAAGTTTGTATGAACAAAGGAAAAGGGAAGAGGAACAATAGACAAGCTTCGATTTACACCATAAACATGGGTGTATTTGTGTGTTTGTTTTCGTTCTGGTTGTTTCGAGTTTGGTATTTTTTTAATTTTTTTTTTTTTTTTGGGGGGGGGGTATTATGTTATCCTTTACAACTGAGGACTTGGGACAATAGGGTGTGTGCGATAAAAATAACCCCGAGGACCTGAGCCAAGTCCTCGGGAGGTTGTCGTGTACAAACCTTATGGGACGTGTTGAGAAACAGTTGAAGTACAAACAATAGGAACAACAGAAGCAGAAGGGAACAATAGGAGGTCCCCATCTGCATAGGATAGCACGGCTGATCTGATACACCATGCCCTCTGAAGACATGCACACAATAGGGAACAAAAGATTGTATACGTCTCCACAGGGCAATTTCTATAGATGAATACGTCTCCACAAGGTTTTCACGAAATAGATAAATTATATGGATTTTACTCAAAAACTAGGAATTTCCAAGGTATGCTGATCCGTTGCAAATGGTAGAGTTTTAGAAAAGGGATATTAAGTCCGAATTTCACCCGAGGAAATTAATTCTGGTTAAAATAAAAGCATTTTGAAACTGTACTTTCAAACTCGAATCTTTTAGTACACGAGAACAAAGAAATGTCTCCACAAGGATACAAATTTCAGTATGTAGGTGTGTGTTTTTGGCTATACATGAAGTGAAATTATATCCAGCGGTACTCGGAGGTGTATTGTTAAATCTTCATATCAAAAATATGTAAATACAGAATCTAACCACAAGAAGATTTTATTGCCATTTTGTTTAATGACAAGACGTCTTTACTGCATGCATGCCCACTTTTGTTTATCACACCGATAGTACCTTTGATACCACCGTTGGCCTATTCCTTACTCATGCGAATACAAAGTCGATTGTACAAAATGAAACGGATGCCCGTGAGTCATTTGCATAATTTCGTGTGTTTGTTATGCTGTTGATTTCAAGCATAAAAAACAATTTCTGGGAATAGTACAGGAAATGTCGAAGTACACAACATGATGTTGACTGGTTATTTTTATTTCTAATAATGGCCTTGCATATATAACAAAATCTGTTTTTGTGTTCTAGGAAATTATGAAATTTATTCAGTTATCCTAGAAAGTGATGAAAAATGTGTGTTCTGGAATGAAACAATGAGTATCGAGCAAATGCCTTGGCGATTAGACGTGTGAATTTAAATGTCATCAAGATTTGATTGTCGACCAGCGATGGGGGCTGCTGAGATGTGGTTTTGAATTTTCTGAAAGTCAGGAATAAGTGCTTGTTTGCCATAATGCCTTTATTTGTCAAATGTTGCGAGAAAAATCTTAACATGGAAATAAATAAGACATATTTAAAATGTTGTCCACCTTGCTTTTTAACTTTGTGCAGCTTATTTCGACCTTATTTTGTGCACCTAGTTTTTAATATAATTCTGTTCATCTAATTTTGGACATTATTTTTCAACTTATTTTTGACATCATTTTTTTTCTGCCCAGTTTTTTTTTCTGCCCAAAAAAACGATTATGTCATGTGCTCGAACATAACTACACATTTCTCATTTATTTCACCTTGATCAATGTTCCATTTTTATACTTTCTTTATTATAAACTAAAACATGCTTTAATTTGTTTCGGATTCCTTAGATTGCAGAGCGTGCATCGTTGCATATCTACGTCAGAGCCGGCAGTGTCCACGGTGCGACACGGTAGTGCACAAAACCCGACCTTTACTCAACATAAGGTTCGGCCTTATATTCACATATTTATTTATTTATTTTTATTCTTTGCCGTAAATAGCCACACGGTTTAAAAATAGCACAGCAAATCAATTTTGCAATAAGTGTGAATTATGATAAAAACCTGCAGCGATTGTTCAGATGCTGGAGATATAGTCATGTGAATGTCGTGAATCTGCAGTGACGCAGGTGAACATCTACGGTATCTTGATGGCTGCCATTCATAGATGCTATCATCACCGATTTTGTTTGTTTAAAAAAATTAGAAAATTGAACAAAGACATTGACTCGAGTGGGCTTTGAACTTGCGACCTGTGGATGTCGCAGGTTCAAACTCCGCTCCAGTCAATGTCAAGGTCGCAGGTCCAAACCCTGCTCCAGTCAATTTCGTTGTTAAATTTTCTAATTATTATATACGCATCTTTGTAATTTATTTGAGGATTTGTTTAAAAATGATCAAAAACGAAACATGTAATTTCCGATCGAAAGCCATTGACACCTTTGTTTCATTGACATTTCAGATCCGATAAAACACTTCAGAATCTAGTCTACAAACTTGTCCCGAATCTTTTCAAAGGTAAGGACCAAGAGGTCATTTTTGTACTTAGTCCTTACTTCATTTCATCGTGATTTTGTTTTCAATTAAATAACTAACCATAAACCGTGTCGCGTGTGATCCGTGTTTGTTTAGTTTATTTCCTTCATGTACTAATTGTCTTATGATGTTTGTTCTATTTTTAGATGAGATGAAGCGTAGGAGAGATTTTTATGCTCAGCATCCTCAAGCAAGTAAGTTCAACATCGATGTATTTTTTTGTCTGGGCTGTAGCAACATTTCATTTAGGGCTATTTGTTTTGTCCTTTCTGTGAGTGATTCATTATCTAATGCAATGGGCTTTTTTGTTTTTAATTAATGCGATTATTAAATTTGCTTATTCCGGAAAAAAACCTGCTCGGTGTCAGCAGAAAAAGATGCCTTCAGGAAATGTTTCTGGGATAATACAGAGAGGCAAAAACGATTCACCCATTGCAAAGACCAATGGCTTAGAGTTGTTTCACACGCTGTAAACTAGACAAGAATTGAGCTTGTGGGTGTTTTTGTTTTCTTGGCTGACCAGAAAACTCAGACATGCAACTTTTCCTCTTTATCAGCTAATTCCCATATCTGCCATTACAACTTGCAGAACACTGTACAAAGTCATCTAAAGTCTTAGGATGTCCTCTTTTGTGTGGCTTCACAATGCATGCATGAGAATTGCTTAGGTATTTAATCAGAATTAATAGTTGTGGCAGATTTTTCCTCACTTTGAGAACGTCTTTGAATGTGCAACTTTTCCTGCAGGTACCAGCATGCAGTCACCGAACGCCCGTGAGGAGCGCGGGGAGGTGTGCGAAGATTCCCTGGTCATCTACACGGAGGATGAACACATCAGCCTGTCGCTGGACTACTACTTCGCGCAGCCACGCAAGGACGAACGGCAGAAGATAACTGATGAAGGGGGTACCAACGCCAACGGCAAGCGGCCGAACGGCGATGCCAACGGCTTGCCTGGGGACGTGAGTGTTGCTGGATAATTGATGTCATCTAAAATTACGAAATAAAGACCTCTGTGTTGAGTTTTATAAATTTGAATGTGCGTTTGCGCAAGAAAGCGGTTACGGACGACTTGCAAATGAGCATCCAAGACAAGGTGCTCGGTGCTGAGCCATTCAACCGTAGATTTTTTTCATTCAATCTTAAGCCCTCTTTTTTCAATATTTATTTGAAATTCGTCTATTGAAAGGAGCTTCAGTAGGCTTGCTGTGGAGCCAAAAGAACCATGTTGTTCATTATTTGCAGTTGATGATTAAATGCAGACATCACGAATGCGTACGAACTTTTGCAATTTTTGTTTCCATTGTGTGAAGAATTTCTTTTACTTCAATTTTCCTTGATTAACAATCATAACAGGTGTTTTTCAATGTGTGCCTTTATCAGGTTGTCGAGAAGCGATATCTCCGCTGTCCCGCTGCCGTCTGCATCGTACACATCAAGAAATTCATCAGGAATAAATTTGGACTCTCCCCGGCGCACAGGGTAATGACGGAAAAGAAAATCAATAAAAAAAATAGAGTCGAAAATGCCAAATGTTAAAATGAAATTAAACATTTCAAAGTCGTCTGAGTTAAAAGGACGATGTGAACATTGCTGTTATAAACCCCAGTCTCGAATTCGTAATTCTTATTAAATTTCCCTCACGTCTTTCACTTTACCTTTTCTGTTTAATTTATGCAATTTACTTTTACAAAAATGAAAAGTTGAGTTGGAAAAAACAATGATTTCTCTGTAAGTTTTTGATTAGCCTGATTTTTGATTTCAGATCGAAGTTGTTCACCAAAATGGCGAAGATGAACCTCTTCGCGATGATTACACTTTGATGGATATCGCCTACATCTACACATGGAGAAGGGTAGGTCTCAACAGAGCAAGTTTTCAATCAATCAATAAACCAATCAATCAATTATCAGTATAGCAACAGGTGGATATCTAAAGATTGTTAATCTTTTTCTGATTCGTATATATTTCCACCTCGGTGCAGAATGGTCCCCTACCTCTCTTGTTCAGAGTTTTCGAGCCTTACTGCAAACGACGAAAAGGGAGCCAGTCTAGTATCTCGTCCTCGGAATCAGTCCCATCCAAGGCCGGGAGTAAGAAACTTTCACCCCCTGCAGCTCAGCGCCAGCGTAGCCCCTCCAAATCACCCAGCCCCCTGTCTTTCCCGGACAAGGACAAACACTTTCAGAAGCCACAAGCTAAATGGAAACCTGCTCCAGAAGCCGCCAAAGTGCCAAGCAAGCCGATTAAAGCTCCCTCGTCGGATCAGCCTGGACCGTCTAGAAAGTTGCCCTCACTCGACAGAAATGCAAATGTGCCGCAGAAAAATAATCTTGGTAAACATGAGAAACCGACTACGTCTTCCGCATCAACCCCCTTCAAGAAAAGTTCCTCTACGAACACACAGGTCAAGAATACTATTATTGTGACGTCGGCGAATCCTGTGTCTACGTCATCAGTAACTGTGGCCAGTGCCTCGTTGATTGTACCCAAGATCGCAAACAGCTTGTTACCCGTTGTTGTCAACTCACCAAAGACTGATTCGGGTTCTTTAAATGGTAAAGTGCCGTCACCAAAGCCTGACAAGTCATCGGCAAAGACTAGTTTGACATCACCAAAGGCAGAAATGAAGTCATCGATGGCAGAAATGACGTCACGGAAAGTTTCCCTGACATCATCGAAAGAATCAACTCCGGCGTCGAAAGCAGAACTGGTGTCACCAAAGTCAGGAACTACTTCATCGAGTTCAACTATTTCTTCAGCAAAAGTTGACGTGATATCGGCGGCGACAGGCACGACCATGACATCGACAAAGACACAGATGTCACCAAAACCAACCGCGACGTTGTCCAAAAATAACAAGGTCACATCAAAGCCAGATATGGCGTCGACCAAGCCCGACATGACGTCATCGAATCCTGGTACGACGTCATCGAATCCTGGTACGACGCCGTCGAATCCCGACACGTCACTAAAGTCCGACGTGATTAAACCAAAGCCAGACGTGACGTCACAAAAGGCTGATACCCCTCCGATCAGCTTTACCCTTTCTAGTGCCCTTATGTTGCCTTCACAGGTGAAAGATACGTCTGCTAATGTCAAGGCATCAGAACCAGCTGAAACGGATAAAGGTGTGACCACCTCAAACGCAAAAGTGACTCCACCAGCTGCAAGAAGTGACATCAAAGAGGAAGAAAAATTGGCTACACCTGAGGTGAAAAGCGAGGATATCGCTGCCAAGCAGACTAAGAATGAGATCAAAATGGACCAATCGGCGTTGCTTACGGCTGTTGTGAAGGTAGACCAAAATGCTGAGACCACGCCCACAGAGAAGACCACGCCCACAGAGAAGACCCCGCCCACAGAAAACAGTAGCGCGCCCGAAGAGCCAATGGACGTGTCTGTTTCTGATGGCGTCATGATTGACACGCCCGTGTTGTTGCAGACGTGATCTCTTGAGGTATTTGCTTACTTTTGGTTTGCATCCAGCGGATCTTTGGGACCTGTTTCAACCAAAGTTGTACAAAGTTGGAATCGTTATTCCATTACAAGTTTTTCTTGAACTGTTGCATAAAACATAAGCATTGTATAATCAAACAAGGTGTTTAAGATGTAATTTTTTAAGAAACTACTCGAATTACGCAATACGATTATATTTTTATTAAGGCAGACAATGTGTTGTCAGAATAATTTGCTATTGATGGAAGTTCCCCTGTTTTCAAGATGGAAGTTGTAAAAGTTATTAGATTTGAATTGTTTCTTGTAATTGGCAAGTTGCACATTCCCTTTTTGCTTCATTCACCTGCAAGAGAGCCAGTTCCTTCCCGTCACCTGTTTATACCAAGTACATGTACTAGCCAAATTTCTAATCTACGTCAAAGTGAACTTTACCCAAATTAGATTTTAGTGCAAAGTAGTCCTAAATAGAATAAAGTGCAAAACATTCCTTTGCCACAGATGTCATAAATTGTGTCCAGTAAACAATATGCATACCTTTTGAAAATGTTAAGTAATAGTTGACGATTTTTTTTCAACCATTGCAGCAAAATGTAAAGCAGAGATGAAGATGATTGAACCTATTGTACAATGGAAAGATTATTGAGAGTGTCTGTGAAACAAATTACGTGCAAATTTGCTTATTTCAACCAATATCCATGCCTTGATTACTTTTTCGAATTGGTACCATGAAACAAACATTCACAAGTTTTGTGCAAGTTCCACCGTTAATAGTATTTAATAGTTTTCCTTCAATGTTAAGTACTCACTGATCCGTTTGAGCGATAGGCCTATAATCCTTCGGCCCAAAACATGAAAAATAAAAGAGACGATGCTTTGATTTAGAGAGCACGTTCCCGTTATAAATGTCGCCTTCTACGAATTACGAGGGAATATGAAGTAAAGTTTGTAGAAAAACGAGGCCTAAATCGGTCACATTTACCTTTTAATTGTGTTAATTCGTTTGTCGATGGATCAACATTAAATTTGATTCATGCACATAAGATAACTTCGTTTCCATTCAACATATTTACAACTATCCTGATCCCCTGAAATATCTTCTTTGGATAATTTCAATCATCCGTTTGAAGTGGGTTTTTTTTCTCACAATGTGTACAATTCAATTCAATTCAATTTATTATACTCGTCACGTAAAAAACATGAAAATTGATTTCCAGTGTGCATTATACATGTACAATAAGACCACAGATATATACGAATGCAAAATAAATAAAATTTGATGTAAAAAACAAAAGGTACTATAAGATATTAACACAAAATGAGAGAGACTATATTTACAGACTATCAAAAATTACAAGGTTGTCATCCAACAAATAAAAACACCAGATTGTTAGAACAAGGAACCTAGTAAGAGACACAATTAAAAAGAGCTCTTTACAATAAAAACACGTGAGTGGATGCCAGCATACCAGGAAAAAAGGACAAGACAAAAAACAGGGGATTATCTTTTGAATTGAGTGTTGAATGGATGGCATGCATTAGGCAAGAATGACATTCTGAAGCGCTTAGTGCGGGTTCGTGGAGGGCGAATTCTTCCTGATTTGTTGACACCACCGAAGAATGGAGCGGATGGGAAGGATCTTGCATTATGTCATGTAGCTTAGAGATAACTGCAGATTCAAACATACAATGTAAATCCCTAACGTCCAGGCCAATTGTTTTGGAGGCCAATTTGGTGACACGTTCCAGTCTGTGTCTGTCCATGGCTCTAAGGTTACCGTACCAGGCAACCATAAAGAAGGTGATGATAGATTGGATAACGCTTTGATAAAAAAGAAATAAAATGTCTTTGCAAACATTGAATGATTTCAGCTTCCGGACAAAAAACATCCTCTGGTTAGCCTATAGCCACAAGTTTCTGAGAATTGATCTTCCAATTCAAGTTGTTGTCAATGGAGGTACCAAGATACTTAATGTTATCGACCATTTCAACCCTAGTGTCATTAATATAAATAGGTTCAATACTAGTCTTCGATTTACGAAAGTCGAACACAATTTCTTTAGTTTTGGACACATTCAGTGTTAAATAATTAAGATCACACCATTGAACAAAATTAGCTACCTCTTTGCGATAAACAGATTCATCATTCATAGAAATCAATCCCGTCAGAGAGGTGTCATCAGCATATTTAATTATAGGGCATGATGTATCACCGGTTCTGTAGTCACTGGAATAAAGTGAAAATAACACTGGGGACAACACACAGCCTTGAGGAGCTTCAGTACTAATATGGATGTTATTAGAAACTGAGTTCATAAATAAAACCCTTTGAATTCGATCAGTTAAAAAAACTGTTAATCCACAAACAGATATGGGGATTGACACACATTCTATCCATTTTTCCAGTCAATGTGTAATAAACATTCGAGTAACAATATTTTATAAAGCCAGTTTGCCGCGGAGGCTGCTCGCACTCCCGATGGAAGTCATGCCAAAGACAGGGCAGACCAAGCTTCCTCCCATCCAAGGACTCGTAGTCATCTTTGGTTGTTTCTCAGTCTCCTGACGATGGGCAGAGTACACTATCCGAAACGTCGAGTTTCCCCGGTTCTTTTCAGAGCCTCACAAACTCACAACAGAGATTTGTCACATGTTGCTACCGTAACTTGATCGTTACTTTTTTTGCCATTAAGTAAACAATGCAAACATTCCGATCTTATCTACTTGTTTTGTTCTTCTCTGTGAGTATCTAGAATCCCGAATGTCAAAGGAGCTTAATAAGTCTGGATTCCACTGTTTCGACTAAATAAATCTGCGTGAAGTCAAGAAAACTGTACACTTTCAGGGCCAGGGCTCATTCAGTGTACAATAATTAATGAACACCACCTGTCATAAAACGTTTACTTCTTACTTCTTACCATGTATGTTTTACCCAATCCCTTACAAATTCATGTGGACTGTGGAAACCCTCTCCCCTCCACCCCCCCCCCCCCCGCTATATCCAGATAGACTGCCCCTTTAAGATTCTAAAGGGGCATAGCTATTCGACCAGTGTACCCCTTTTAAGCTCATTAAGCCCCATAAACGGGTGCACCGTTGTTACGCATTGTGTGCGTGAGGGGTCAAAAATGGCCAATATCGATTTTTGAATCTAGCCATAGGAGAATGTAAGGGGACGACTTTCCTCAGTACACGGTTAGAGATCGCCTGTGGTACTGGTGCTTTTTGTCTAAATTTGTTTAATCATATCGGCTCCGTTTACAAGTTCAATGCGCAAGTTCAGGTGACCTGAAATGCAAGAGAAAGCAAAGACGATATAATTTAACGACCCAATTCAAATTTGTGTTTTGCCACTGTCCAAGTTCAAGAAGGGTGAAGTGATCTTACTAATTAAGTTCAAACTGAAGATTTCTCCGGTTATTGTTTGAGTCCTCACTTTGAAATAAACATTACAAGTATATAACGGTTTACGGATATGTCAGTCAGATGTTTACTCTTTAGAATGACATATAAATATGATGCCTATATGAATTATGCCTATATGAATTATGCCTATATGAATTATGACAAAAAGTATACCCCCTATTATGGTTCAGTGCTAGTTTTCAGTTTAATTAATGTTCTGAAATCTTGTTACTCCAAAAACACCTCTGTTCTGTTCGGTCTTCAGTTAATTATTGGATTATTTCTTTTATTGTATTTTGTTTCTTAATTTTAACTTTATTCACTGTTCCATCATGTTAGATACTTCAAACATTGGAAGAAATTTTGGCCGAAAATATTCAACCGCTACACAGGTGTCACGCGCAATGGAAGTACCAAAGCACTCGCAATGGAAGTACCAAAGCACTCGCAATGCAGCAGATTAAGTTGCGGGGTAAAGGTTGCACCGTAGCGACCCGTCCAAACACACCGATAACATTCAACAATAGAAGCTCCTGTTTGCTTCTCATTAATATGTATCATGACGTCACTAGACGACCAGAGACCAATCGCCAGGCGGCCCGGGCGCACCCTATAAAAACCCCGTGTTTGGATCGCAACCGTCACATTTCTCACTACATCCCGACATTGAACCGGGTGAAGTCAGGACAGCTCTCCGCTTAAAACGCCAAATTAACGAATTTTTCTTCGTCAGAAATCGACTGAAACTACTCTGCAAATATGGTAAGTAACCATCGACTATGTAGGAATGGTTTGGTGCGAAGGGATTACAGGGAAGATGGGCAATTTTGCAACGATTCTTGGGTCGTTCATGGCGGAAATTTTGCAAGAGCGCAACGGCCGTGCGAGCATAGTGACGTTTGCATGTTTGCCAATGAAAAGCAAAGAGGGCAAGGGACGAAATGTGATTGGCAAGCTATTGGATGGGCCAACATTCCACAATAGTTCCGCAGATTAACCGCCAAAAAAATGTGCAAGCTATTGTGTGCAACTTGTATTTTTTAGAATTCAGATTTTTGTTCGGGTTACGTGTAGATTGACTATTCACGAACCTCTACTGTAAATGACGATCAGATGAAAATTGCCTGATTGGGTGGTTGAATCATAGAGCTGTACTTTAATATACAGCTCCATGTGTCTGTGTGTGTTGAATCGATATGGTTATATTAATTTAGAAGAAGACGTACGGAAACACGATTGTTTAAAAAAAATATGCATTTTTTTTTTAATTCTGAATCGCACAAATTTGCCCAAATATTTCCATTACTGTTAGTGTGAACATAAGCGTAACTTCCATGAAAGTCTAATAACAAATTGAAAAGACCATGGTTCCTTAACCTTGACCGACAGAATAACAAGCCTCGCAGACGTACGGTGGCTGGCCGGCTCATTCATTAATGTTTCTTTAATTGTGTCTTATTTGGGTGGGTCCAATAGAGCTTTATGGAATTAAAGTACATTAAAAAAATTGATTTTCATACTATAGTGACAACTAAATTCCTTTTTTTTTCCTTTACAGCGTGAATGTATCTCTATCCATGTCGGCCAGGCCGGAGTCCAGATGGGCAATGCCTGCTGGGAGCTGTACTGCCTGGAGCACGGCATCCAGCCTGATGGTCAGATGCCTAGTGACAAGACCATCGGAGGTGGTGATGACTCCTTCAACACCTTCTTCAGCGAGACCGGTGCCGGCAAGCACGTCCCCCGTGCCGTCTTTGTCGATCTTGAACCCACCGTTGTCGGTAAGACTAAAACAGTTATCTTTATATAAAAACAGTTCACTCTTCATGGACTTCATGATGCTAATAAATTAATATTCTACTATGTTTGTACAGCAATTTATTATTTATTTTATATTGGTGACATTTCAGATGAGGTTCGTACTGGCACCTACCGTCAGCTCTTCCACCCTGAGCAGCTGATCACAGGCAAGGAGGATGCCGCCAACAACTACGCCAGAGGCCACTACACCGTGGGCAAAGAGCTCATTGACCAAGTGCTTGACAGAATCCGGAAGTTGGCTGACCAGTGCACAGGTCTCCAGGGTTTCCTCATATTCCACAGCTTTGGTGGAGGCACCGGCTCTGGCTTCACATCCCTGTTGATGGAGCGTCTCTCTGTCGATTACGGTAAGAAGTCCAAGCTGGAGTTCGCCATCTACCCGGCTCCTCAGATCTCCACTGCTGTTGTTGAGCCCTACAACTCAATCCTTACCACTCACACCACCTTGGAGCACTCCGACTGCGCCTTCATGGTCGACAACGAGGCCATCTACGACATCTGTCGTCGCAACCTCGACATCGAGCGTCCGACCTACACCAACCTCAACCGTCTCATTGGTCAGATTGTGTCCTCCATCACTGCTTCTCTGCGCTTCGATGGTGCCCTCAACGTCGACTTGACCGAGTTCCAGACCAACTTGGTGCCATACCCACGTATCCACTTCCCCTTGGCCACCTACGCCCCTGTCATCTCTGCTGAGAAGGCCTACCATGAGCAGCTGACCGTTGCAGAGATCACCAACGCCTGCTTCGAGCCGGCCAACCAGATGGTGAAGTGCGATCCCCGTCATGGCAAGTACATGGCCTGCTGTCTGCTCTACCGTGGCGATGTCGTCCCCAAAGATGTCAACGCTGCCATCGCAACCATTAAGACCAAGCGCACCATCCAGTTCGTCGACTGGTGTCCAACTGGCTTCAAGGTGGGCATCAACTACCAGCCACCCACCGTCGTGCCTGGCGGTGATCTGGCCAAGGTGCAGCGTGCCGTCTGCATGCTGAGCAACACCACTGCCATCGCCGAGGCCTGGGCTCGTCTGGATCACAAGTTTGATCTGATGTACGCCAAGCGTGCCTTCGTCCACTGGTACGTGGGAGAGGGTATGGAGGAGGGTGAGTTCTCTGAGGCTCGTGAGGATCTGGCTGCCTTGGAGAAGGATTACGAGGAGGTCGGTGTCGACTCTGTTGACGAGGAAGGCGAGCAGGAAGGCGAGGAGTATTAAACCGCGAAAATCCCAGTACTCAAACAATTCCCTACCTGAACATTTAGAAAACCAAGAAAAGTCTATAGGCCTACCCAAAAGAATTCCTTTCACGGATACAACGATGTCTCGCTGAGCAAACAGACCAAGAATGCTGCGAATGGAAAAATATGAAAACAAATTCAAATATCTTTTTAAGATATTTCTAACCGACTCTCTTTCTTTTTAAACAGATTTTAATAAAGTTATCCTTCAAGTGTTTCATATTTAAACCTTTACTGTCCTGCAATTTAGATTGTTTTCTATTTTTACATTATTCAGTTTATTTTCGGTGCTCCAAATGTTTTTCAGAAAGCGTTATTCCAAATTATGCAAGGCAATAAAACAAAGCTGCTAATCCGAAGTAATTTAAGTTGACGATGTACTTTGTTTTTCATTGAAGGTTAATTTTTATTTATTTGAAAACTCGGGGAGGAGGTTGAAAACATGATAGAATACGGAAAAAGGGACAAGCTCGAAATAATAATGCAAGAAAAAAAATGGCTTTTCAAGCTAGGATTCAGAATGAAAGAATTGAGCAGGGGCGGGGGCCTGAATATCTGATTCACCCTAAAAAGATTACAAATCAAGAGAAAAATCGGGGTTTGGGTGAAATTAAAGAAACGTTGGACAGTATCGCTTGGGGAAAGATACAATTGAGTTGAAAGCATTGGTATACATTTTGTTCATGTAAATATTTTGAGAACAATGAGAGAGCAAAAGTTACAATTACACTGAAATAATATAATCTGGTCAACTGGACTTGCAATTTAAACTTGCGACGGTTTCACAGTCCTATCGTGGACGCTTCTTCATGCCGACTGGTCGTCTGGCGGCATACGGTTGATGACGTCAAAGAACTATCAAAACGTCGAGTTACTATTCGTCCAAAACGGCGCCCTCAACGCCTAATTCCAAGAAACATAGTAGAAATGTACATGGAGTTGTCAAATCTAGGGAGCCAACGGTTGCAGGCCATTAATGGGCCCCAAAAAATGCCTTCGCCGGCCAAGTCACGATTAGCACGCTCTCAAATTCTCTGCTATTAACGCATTTTGTAGGCCATGAACTTGAGGGTTTGTACAAGAAAGAAGGGTTGAAACTGTCCACAGGACTGGGAGCTTGTATTTCTTTCAAATTTGGATGAAATTGGGCACTAAAAGTGCTCTATATTACAATGAAGCGTAGGCATCATGGCGATGGGCTGCAGGACTATTTTTAGGGTTGATCATCTCCCAAATGTTCCCCCAAAAATTGAACAGAAATTAAAGATGATAAAAAACGAGCTTTCATTTGATTTGTGTCTCGAACACCTTGGAGAGTTGTATTTTCCCGAGTTCCGGTAGTGGGGGAAAATTATCTTGGGGTCTATGGCAGTTTACTGGTCTGCAACAAGCTTTGAATCGATTCACTAATTACCAATTATGTTAGGCTATATGTATCAATATATGCCGCAATATTTGAAATGTTTTTGTTTTTCCCCTTAAAATTAAAAGTGTACTTTATAATGAACACTGAAAACAGACATTTTGAAATGAAAATAACCATTATTCCCGATCTGCAAAAGCAAGTTTTATTTGCAACCAAAATAGACACCCGGGTGCCACAATAATCTATCAACGGTGTAAAAAAAATGTGTTATTTCAAAGAACCTCATGCAGTGTTCATCATTCGATCCATGAAATTTTAAGCTTTCAACGCTTCTACAGGTGTATTCGATATACTTGAGGTGGATATGTGCGAAACTATACTTTCATCACGTGGCTTTCAAGAAAAACTACGTGTATAAAAATAACCTGCAAAATACTCTAAGAAATGGATCAAAAAAATCTAAAGATTCGCAGATAACTACACCCTTTTTCCCAAAAAAAAACAATACAAAAATAATACTGTAACGCTTATAAAACATTGTGGTACAAAAATAGCAACATACAAAAAAACTAAATATCTGTAAAGATAGTGTAACCAACAAACATGACAAATTTTCCATTTCCAGTCAAGACAACAAAATGTTAAACTATTTCATAGGATGAAATTATGTTCAGTCAACAAACAATGTCATAACTATAGGCTTAATTCATTGTACTATGCCAATTAAACAGGAGTTTATAAGTGCAAGATATCGAAAATATGCAAAAACGTAAACAAAAAGTACTCTAGGCAAATTAACCATACCAATAGTAACGGTGCATTACAATTAATAATAGTAAATCTAAGCTTCCAAATACGAGTTTAGTGCAACACAAAATACAGTGAACGATATTAGATAAATACCGAACTCGCCAGTAATGGTTTCTGCATGGTACTACAGAAATTTACGGAGTATAAATGTGCACATTAATAATCACTGTCTGTAAACGTTCTTGTGGAAATACATGTAACAGCATACACTAATTTAATCAATTATTTAAACCTCAAATCAATTTATACATGCAATATTTACAGGCTTTGTGATGTCATGTGTTTTGTTAATAATGTGGAAACATGAAAATGTTTCAATTCTTGACCCTTTGCCCGCTGGAAAAAAAACGAAAGCCTAAATAGTCCTACATGCAGAAATTTTGATAGTCCTCAAACTCGGCAAAATACTGATATTTACGTATAATAAAATCCCAATAAAATTTACAATGTATACGGCTATAGTCTTAAAGACATTACATTGTACTACGTTTCAGCGATTTAATGATAATACATGTATATTTGTTTTACTGTAGCCATGCCCCGTTCATGTCATCTCACTGTAGGCTACTCTATGGAGTTTACGGTATTCGTAATTAGATACTGATGGCATTTGGGACCTCGTTAGGGTGGCAGTAATCGTAGGGGAATTCTCTGTACCTGTTGCGCTCGTCAATCATGATTCCGATGTGTTTGAGTTCCTTCCTGAACCTGGGCAAATGATGCAAATGGGGAGAAGTACATAAATTTAAGTGATGTAGTTAAATTCATGATGTAGAAACAAAATAATGTGCACGTTTTAACACGACAGCGATATTGACAATACAAAATAGCAGCTTTATACAAACTTGTAGAAGCAAAAACGGAGTAAGTTCGCAATAACATTAAAGAAAGAAACAAACAAATGGAAGAAGAAGAAAAGAAAATGACTCCAGAATTCTTCTTTTTACCAAAGATAATCCAGTCTCAGAAAAATCAAAACGAAAAAAGACAGCAATGACAAGCGTATTACATACAGGTATGAAAATAACAATAATTAGGTAAAAGATTTTTTAAAAATCTATAATGAACAAGAAATGTATATTTTATAACATGAATGTAAAACTACAATAAAATAAAGACGTGAACTTACTCTTCGAGAGCCTTGACGGCAATTGGACAGAATCCGTACTGGACTTCGAAATCACCCAGGCTTTTGGTGGCTTTCTCACTGAGCAGACGCGTCACAGTCATGACGTCAACGGTCACGTTCTTGTCTGGAAGATTGTCCAAGATGTCCTTCTCAGTGCGTGGGGACTTCAGGTAAGAAACAGGAATGGAATTGTTGTTAAATACTGCACGACAGAGTGTCATGGCCTAGGGGTTAAGAGCACCGAATTCATGTTCTGGTGTTTCAGAGGCAACAGTGACGTGGGTTCGAGCCTGCCGGCGGACACTTGTGCTCTTAAGCAAAGCACTTTACCATTATTGCTTCGTCCTTCGGATGGGACGTTAAGCCGTAGGTCCCGTGTGTTGTATAAATGCACGTAAAAGAACCCAGTAAACACTTATCGCTAAGAGAAGGGGTTTGCTCCGGTGTTTCTGGCCTCCTGTATAAACTCCCACGTGGAGTATTAAGGAGAAGAACCAACCAAGAACCAAGAAGAGGAAATCCTGTCAATTTGGTTAAGAAAACACAGCTACATGCTAACGTGTATTGTGTAATATTTGGTTCATGAATTTGTTTTTTAACTAGTGGAGATATTTTGTGAATGCATGGACCCTTCGAAAAAAGAAAAATCATAAATTCGACCATTCGACCCCAGTCGAAACCTTGAAAGATAACTTGAATATTTCCCCTTTTAATTTTCCGTTAATAAGGTTTACTAAAAGTGCGAACCAATACTTTGATAGCCGTTGTATTGCATTCAATGTAAACTCCACCAAATCTATACAGCAGACGATTTGGGCTGAAATCTACCACAACTTTTCGGCGCTGAAACGCACCTGGTGAAAATGTTTGGGCCCTTTGTTATGCAAATTAGACACCACACGCGCGTGCACGCACTGCTCGCGCTTGTGTTGAAGCTATGCATGAACAACACGTAAGACAGTAATAACACATCGCGTATAGCTGCAATTCAAAACAATTCAAAACATGATTCAGCAACTTTTGATTTGAAATTGAGATCCTAGAATGCTGTTTTTCTCGGAATATACAGCTGAAGCAGAGCTGAAACTTCATCAGGTTAGTTGTTCAGTATCCTTCATTAGAGTTTGAACACTTTTGTTGCTTCAAACGAACAAAATGCACAAATTACAAATGATGGACTATATCTTTAATAGTATGTAAATACAGATCTAGGGCAGCTTCTGAAACTAAAAAATAATTAGTTGCATAAAAAAAACAAGGAAAGAATGTTGCATCCTGACGCAGATTTTTTTTTTCATCATACAAAAATGTTGAAAAGACATGAATCTGGGAGTGAGAAACATTTCCAATTTTGTTAGGAAATACATTGAAAATATTCTTGACTCTCCATAGACTTTATGCATAACCACTGAAGTGGCGTCTGAATACTACATTCTTTCCACACACAAAAGGACCTAAAAAATGACTGCTGAATGCACAAGTCTATATTTGTACCTTATCTGTGGGTGGAGGCATCCTCATACCAGCTGGGTAGTGAGGCGGGAAGGCATAGTCGTCATACTGGGAGAAATTGGCCACCCCGTGAGACACGCTGCAGGTGAACATGATGGGTGTGATGGTGCTGATCACGTCTTCGACGGTGGCAAACTTGCCGTCCGCTGGCACGCCCTTGAAATAGATCGTTAATTCTAACATTATTTACACCAGTATCGACATGTGTGGGTTCATTTTCTTCAGACATCTGATTTTTGAATGTCCCAGCCAAAAAACAAATACCTTGTCACACTTTCGACTGTTCGTGTCTTGAAAACCTGTACTCAGCAGCATATTCCTATATTTATTTCATAGCTTGGTTGTATCTGTTGTTTTTCAAGTATTTGTAAGAAATACTATTTTCGATTTCATCCATTTCTTATAAACAGTAAAATATAAATACCTGTACTCCTACTCCTCCCTCGTCTTGGGGCGTGTTCATCAAACGCCCCCATTCCTGGAGCTCATAGTCTTCAACTATCATCTCAGGAGTCTCTGTGAAGTCACAAAATAGAAATTTCTAGAAATGCTTATCGTACAAGATGAAAGTCTCTTAATATACCCATGAGGTCAATTATTATTAACATTACTTTGTGTTTTATGAATGAAGACTATGCTTGCAGTGTCGAGCTGTAGCTCAGTAGGCCTATGCAGGCAGTCAGTCAGTTTATTGCAGACATGAGAATCTTCCCGTTTCAGAAATTCCTGTGTTGTTTTTGTTTTTTGGGCCCAAATTCCCGCTTTTTTTAGCCTGTTTTGGGGCTTCCTTGGCTGATTTCACATATTTTTCTGTTTTTTTGCACAAGTTTCCTGTTCTTCCCATTGAAATTCATTCTCATATTAACTGGTTTATCATTGTCAGACAGTCAGTCTATGGGAACGGTCCACCAAAGCAAGATGAAACATCCTTCTTGGAACTTTGAAGTCGGACATACCATAATGTGCTTCAACAACCTCTGTGACATATTTCTTCATCGCATCGTAAATCAAGAGGGCGTCATCGCGATAATGGTAGTTGGGGAGTGCTTCCGTGTCATCGACCCCACGATTCTTCAGGTCATTGGGGAGGGTGCCCTCAACGTTCAGCCGCCATTTTTTGAAGGCACGGCCGATGAGGTCGAACATGCCATCACGACCGATGTTCATGGTCTTGTCGACCCAGCCATCGACCGAAATCAGAAGAGCGAGACCTCGGCTGTTGAGGAAGCACGTATGAAACAGGCATAAAAATTACTCTACAATGTTTACAATGCACTGGTATCTGCTCTTTTCATGTTTTCTTTTCCATTCTCAATAAACTTCATTCTACTTTCAAGACTTTCAGTTTTAATATTTTTTCTTGGTTCAGCAGATCTCTTTCTAAATTCACATTTTCGGCTTGATCCACTTTCGATGAACAAGCCTTTTACTGATCAAATCTCAAGTTTCTTACTGCTCTGGCTAACTTATATCACCTTTTTTTTATTTCTGAAACTATTTCTTGTTGTTGTCATTATCGGTTTTCATGTTCTGAAACAGAACTTGAACTGAACATTACAAAGTAACAACCCCACTAAAACTTATTCACTTGTAGTTATGCCTTCACCGTCAACTGCACCAAAACTTATAATTTCTAGTTGTACCTCAACAATGAGCACAACAGCGCCCACAATCGGTTAAAAATAGCCAAGGTCACAGAGGTCAAACCCAGAGGGTAGCAGACCAGTAAATAAACTTCCATAGACCCCAATGGTTAATGCTCCCACTTCAAAAATTCAGGAAAAATAATCACAACTCTCCAAGGTGTTCGAGACACACATCAAATTAAAGCTTATTTCATCATCTTTCATTGTCTTTTCAATTTTCGGGGGGTCAACTAATGACTTTTAGGAGAAATTTCCATCTGAAGATGATCACCCCTGAAAATAGTCCTGAAGCCCATCGCCATTTTGAAAAACGATGCCTACAATCCATTGCAAAGTAGAGCGCTTTTAGGGTCCAAATTACATCAAAATTACACAGAACTGCAAGCTCCCAGTCCTGTGCACGGTTTCCACCCATATCTTTTACAAACCCTCAAGTTCATGGCACACAGCATGTTCAAATACCGAAGATTTTGAGGGCATGCAAATCGTGATTTGGCCGGCGCAGGCAATTTCGGACCGATTTACTGGTCTGCACCCAGAGGTCAAAGGTACCTGTTGATGGCCATGAGGAACAGGAAGTGCGGTGCCAGCAGCCGGAAGAGTGGATGTGACGGTGAGAGAGAGTAGTGCATGGTGGCTGCCACGGACTCCATGGCCAGATGGGTCAGACCCAGATGGGTGGCGGATTGGTGGTAGGACGCATCCGCAAAGTTGAACCACATCTTGGCTAGAAGCCAGGTGTACTCAGGGTCGCTAGGGACAAAGATCTGAAAGAAAAAAAGGAAATCAATTTACAAATATTTGTTTTTAATGTGAGACAAGACTTGCCTTATCGAGCTGGACCGTAAAAGTCTCAATTAAAGCTATTGTTTATACTCGGTGGACAAATCTGCTAACAACTAACAGACAAACAAAGCTCCCGATTTGTAGGGTATAATAAGAATTAACCGTGGCAAATAACCATACAATGTAGGCCTATGCTGAAACCAATCACCAACTATAGAGCTGGTCAGCAAACTCAATCAACCAGCAATCGATAATCACGCCAATAGAAGAATAGCAATGAATCAATTAATACGGAAGAGAGAGAACTACTCACCGGGTTATCAGGTGCTTTCTGCTGCTCAAGTTGGAGGGCCACTGGGATAAGATGCTTGTCTTTGTCCACAAAGAACAGTCCAATCGGAGAAACGACCTGCGACCAGAAAAAATCCCCGATTTCTCAAAGGCTGCTGGAAAAATTATTCTAAAGAGATTCCAAACAAGCTACACATCTATACTCTGAAATGGCATGCTTTGTGAAACCCTGCAGCTACATTAGTTTGAAGTTCATAAACTTTTTATTCATAATGTTGCCTTACAGTGGCGCACTTCTGTGATCTGAATGTGCTAAAAGCTAAAACTGTCTTAACTCTTCCAATTTCTTTATTTTTTTCTTAGACCTTTGGAGGCCATCTTACCGGTGTTCCCTGCTTGACAGGCAGCTTCAGCAGGATCTCATAATCGACGTAGTAGAGCTTCTTCTTCTCGATCGCTTCTTGGATGGTCATGCCTTCCAGGAAGGGTGCAACCAATTCATCTGTCACTCCAAACCTGAAAGACCGAGAAAGTCGGGTGAGTTCTAGACTTGTTCTTGCTTGACATGGGATTCGGGCAAATGTACAAGTTTATCTGGCTTGTAGAGATGTAGCTCTGACATTTTTTGTGCCTGAAATTTGAAGCATAGTAATACATGCACACACAAGATGCCAATATATGTTACATGTATTTATAATTTGCAAAAGCCTGCAAGCAGGCGATTGCAGGAGGACATACATCCATTCTTAAAGTCTTGGAAGACAAAGGCAGAAGACCTTAAATCTTTCCAAGGATTTGACAAAGCCTTCTTTGTAGGATAGCCTCCTCTCTGAAGGATACTTTCATCAACTTTTGGAGAAGCTTTCGAAATTGTCATATGCAAATGGAGTGCTTTACAAAGAGGACTTTGCATGCTAATGTTGTGGACGTTTCAGGAGCTATAAGTTTTTAACAACTCCTGCAGCTACTCACTCTTCTTGTATAATTGGGAAAAGGTACAACCAAACATTTTGGCCTATTGGAAATGGGATGTAAGATGTTTACATACTTCTCTGGGACTTCCGTGAAGAGTTTAAGCTGGGTTGGGTTGCATCTGATAAGACGCTGCAGTCCGAACTCAATGTCAGATCGCCACATGTGCATTCCCTGAATATCCAAACACGGAAAGAATTTTATCATCAAGACTGACAACACAACAATCTCACGTTGATATTTGTTTTCAGAAATATCCTCTTGGAGATAAAACAAGTTCAATGTGAAGACAGCCTGTAAAAGAAACCATGATGACTCGTGATAAAGTGTAGAGGAAAATGTATTAAATGAAGCCAACTTTCTCAATCGGTGGACAGAATTCGACTGGAAATCTTCAGGAAATGAGAGCAATTAATTTGGGAAAATATCAAAATGATCAATGAGAAACAAAACATGCTACTCAGCCCTGCTAAAATGCATGCCCCTTTTTCACTAATTTTGCCTAAATCTTCTAGAAGCAAAACAAATCGGATCTTACGGCAGGTTTGGGGAATTTTCCGTGATAGACATTACTGAGGTCATCCAGACTTTCCCATTTGCCGGTGAAAATCTTGGACAGTTTGCTTTGCAGGAGGAGGTTAGCCTTCCGCTTGGCAATATCGAACTAAAAAAGGAAGACAAAATAAAAGACAAACGAAAAGAGGCATCAGAAAGAGAAAAGCTGTCACTAACCAGCACTTTGGGGACAGATTTTCAGATGCACAAGACAGCCATAACATAAGACGATATACAACTATACAATTGAATTTATGCGTTTTAGATAATCTCATTCATTTCAATGAAGTAACAATGAATGTACAAAAAGCTTTACACATGCCTATCCCTGCGATACAAAACCATTGCCCTCTGGTCAGGCCCGTCGCTAGGGGGGTGGGGGCAGGCCCCCCCCCCAAACAGCAAACGCCATACATATGTATTTCATTTGTATTTTGTTATGGTAGTGGGCCCCCTAGTTGGTGCCGGGGCCCATGCTCAGGGCTGGCGACGGACCTGACTCCGCATTATATTAACGCACAAAACTATTATTTTTTTAAACACCAAACATTTTGAGAGCACAATGAAAGAGCAACTCAAAATCATTAACCGTTTGTCCGATTTTATCTTAAAAAAAAACATAGGTAATCGATCTTTCAATGTGATTGATGGATTGTTTGATAGCCTGATCTTCTTGAGGACTCAATACTTACCAAATAATCAAAGGAGAATTTCTCATCACTGGGTAGAGCGGCAACCTATTATTAAAAACAAAATACATAAATATTAATATTTACAATTATTTTTCAATAAATATCTTGCAACCATGGGCGTCGTCAGGATTTTTTCTAGAGGGGGAAAAGCACATCCCCCCCCCCCAAAAAAAATCCCTGTACTTTTCCAGCATATTCTCAATTCCTTTTTTTTTTTGGAGGGTGGTCCGACATTAACCCCACCCATTAAATTAACGGCACTATGACTTCGCATCTCTATTTGTTCTCCTTTTTTTTGGGTTGCTTTTCGGGGGGGGGGGGGCTTACGCCCTTTCCTGCCAAAATAAAGCACAATAACAAAAACTAGGAAACAGTATCAACCAGGAGGTTCAACTGTTCTATTATTATAATAGGGCTCTTCAGAGAATATTTGAAATGCGGTGGGGAAATGGGTTTTGGGCAGTTTTGGGAAATACAGTCCAACACCTTTATAACAAGGTCCTTGGGACTTAACAAATTACCTTGTTATAATAGGTAGCTTATATATTAACAGTAATGGAAAACAAAGAAACCCAAAGACTTGACACCTAAAATGTTGCTTGTTATCAGCTGCTTAACAGTGCACTTTTTATCAGTGTTCGACTAAAAATCTGCCATCAAAAATGTGTAAATATTTCAGTTGAGTAACTTGATTGTTGTGCATGACGGTGTGCACACAATAACACAATGAAACTGCAAGCCGTGCAACCAGGGACGGCAGAACCGGGGGGGGGGGGCAGATTTTCCCAGGCCAACAAAAGTGCCACTCTCGCGGTTATAAGTGTGCCCCCTCGAGATGAAAACAAAACTGCCCCTCAAACACACACATGAAAGCATATGATCACGCTACAAATAAAACTGTTTCCTCTCTTGTAATGGAAACTGCCCCTCAAAAACACAAGTGCCCCTCTCGCATTAACAAGATTGTGCACCTTCTTGAGATGGAAAATTACCCCTCGAAAGCACAAATACCCCTCTCGCAATAATAAAATTGTGCCCCTCTCTAGATGGAAAATTGGCCATCAAAAACAATAGTGCTCCTCTCGCGGTAACTTCTCGAGATGTAAAACTGGCCCTCGAAAGCACAATTTTATTAGTGTCCCACTGCACAACATTACAATTGTGCCTCCCTCATGGAAAATTGGCCTTTAAAAATAATAGTGCTTCTACTCACGCGAATAAAATGGTCACATGAGCTGGCATCAAAAGCAACAGTGCCCCTCTCGCGATAATAAAAGGTCTCTCTACATAACTAGTCAAATTCATGGACGGACCCAAGGGCTGATCCAAGGGGGGGGGGGGCAACTAGGCCATCCCCCCCCCCCAAAAGAAACCGAACCCAATTGTTTTTTGGTGTTTTTTAGTGACGTCACAAACAAAGGCAGCCACTACGTACAGCACCATCTTTTCCTAAAATGAAATTGGTTAAAGTGGTCAGAAGTTGCCTCGGATCGCACCACAGAGCATCTAGAATCCATTTTTTTCGGGGCCCTTAAGCGGACCCCTAACCCCACACCGTGAAAATTTTGTCGACCCACTTTTTGGGGACCAAAGTTTTTTGCGGAGGCCGAAGGGCTCTCACTTTCACACCGACGGAAGGTGCCTTTTTTCTGGATAAGTACCCCCGGTATCTCCCCCCCCCCCGGTATCCCCCCCCCCTTCGAAAAGCGTTCCGCCGCCCAGCGTGCAACACTGACGTGTCATCATCACAAAGACGTTCGTACAGAATTGGGTATGGGTTCTAGATTTTTCGCCATGGGGAATATTTTGTAAACTTCAGCGACATCCATCAGTTAGTCCATTCAGCGACATCAAACAGTTAGTCCATTCAACCCTGGAATTCCAGGAGTTGCAGGATTAAAGGTACAATGTATGATGGTTTATGGCAAACCTAGGATGGTATGCTGACCTGGGATTGAGTGGGAGTGGGGAGAGATAGGCTTATTATTTAAACCGAGGACAATAGGACCCATGTTAACTTTTTTATTTTGAAATACAATGAATATGTCCCACGTAAATACCAGAGTTCACCATTCTTTTCGTTGTTGAGTGTTTCATAACGAAAGCCAACACGTTAATTCAATTTTAAGAACATTCAAAATGAAAACCACATCCTGCACATAGAATTCAATACTGGACTGCGGATCTTCAGAAGTCTTTCATTGTGTACTTTTACTGCCAAATCAATTCTGTGAAACGACACGTAGTGCAAAGATCCGAAACTCGTAACAACGAGCAGGGGTGTGAAATCTCAGCTAGCTTCAAAGCCGATTTCAGCTTTCTTTTGTTTTGGAATTCAGCTTTTTCCCCTCAGTTGCTGTGTACAAAAGCAAAGGAGATTTCCAAAGTTTAGCTTTTTTACACCTTTTTCAGGTGTTTTCAGCAATTTTTATCCAGGGGTCACTCACACCCCTGAACGAGGTTGCATCGACAATGACGATAATAGTACAACACAGAGGTCATATATTTGCCACTTCCCTTTTCCTATTCCACTTTCCCAAACAGACCGCCAAGGCCAGTACAATACAATGAGATATACAGACCAAAAAAATAGGCCTAACTGCACTGCATGTGCACGAAGTGAGGTTAAATCCATTGTGTAAAATGGCCTTGGTGCTATTTGTAAGGCACAGGTATACGCCATACGTGTATAGTGAAATGGACATAAAACTCCAGCCTTTACAAAACCAATTTTCGTTCGTTTTTGCCTCGAGATGAGTCTGTGTAAATGCTTTATACATGTACATGTATCATGTATCGCATTATGAAATCCCAACTCTCCCCAACTTTCACTTTCTCACCATTTTTGTATCAGGGTAAATTCTACTGTTTCCTTTTTGTTTCTATACAGTGAATTAACGGTTAACGAACTGTAAACAAGGTCGGCTCTTGAATCTAATGAGTCCTTATCCCACCAACTGCAGCTTGTAAATTTAGCCCCTTCGGTGGGGAAATTGAACATTTTCAAAAGCTAGTTTAGACTCCAGACTTTATCGATCGTACACTGATGCGCTGGGAGTTAGACAACTTTAGTGATCACTTGTCATTATGTAACGTGTCTGATGTTGGTCTTCTGATTTCGAATACATGTATTTCGAAGCTGCTTTTCCATTGTAATAAAAATAATGATAATGTATTAATTTGTGTAGCGTACCATCATAAAATTATTACTCGATACCAGGATTTGTGAAATTGCTTATTCGATTTACGGATTTGTGAACATGACAACCCATGTTGTGGTTTGGACCTAATATGTGCGATGTAGGGAGTCCTAGTACAGAAACAAAACACGAAGGTCCACGTTAGACATGAACCCGGATTTCCCGTAACCTCGGGGAAGATGTACATGTATCCGGTGTTCCCAACGTCCTGAAATTCCTTTTACCACGAAAGGAAGGATATTAGTTCTCCTGTTCTACATTCGTAAAAAACAATAATGAACAATCCAAGGAATTCACAGGAAAAGCATGACAACACCGCTGCCTCTCAGTAAAATAAAGGACAGATTCACATTTGAATGCTTCCATGCCGTCACATATTTTTTTTTTTTACCCTAACAGCCTTTAGTATGATTTTTCACATTAAAGCTGGTAAATGTTTGGAAAAATTGCTTTTACCTGAATCGCCATACTTTACCAACAGTAATGATAGGAATCATACAGTAGATGAAATGAAACAGTAAACCATTGATTAGACCAGTCGCATTTCAATTTAAAAAAAAGAAAAGATACATATTTTTCTATCGCGCAATCGCCAATGGAGAGGAAAAACATGTTTGATCTTAAAATGTTGATCGTTGCTTCAAAAATTAACTCTGTGTACATTCATATTTTGTATCTGAAATACCACCCTAAAACAAGGGTTACTTAGTCAATGTTTAAGTGCCATAAATATACATCGATACCCGGGATAGTTTTATGATTAAACCGTTCAAGGTGTATTTTATTCATGAAAAGTTTTATTTATGGAAGACATTATCGGTACAAATTATTTCAGTGAGGTGAAATATACGATCGAATGTTGATTTTTTTTCTCACACAGTCTTACCTGGCAAGGAAGACCTACATCTGGAGCTTGGCTCTTGAACTGATAAATCTTCTTAATTTCATCCAACTCTTCCTTGCGTTGGGTCTCCTTGCGAGGATCCTGCTGAGGCAAGAGAGAATCATACTGGCAAAAGATGACACTCTTCTTGCCAGGAATCCACCGATGGATGGGGAACTCGTAAGGACCCTTCTCTGCTCCGTCTTTCGGTTTCTCGTAGATGTCGACTTTCTCCAGGTACCAAGGGTCGAATGCGCCGTGTTCGTCACGCCACAGCTCGATCTCATGCACGGCACCGAAATCAGAGGGAAGCTTGGCCTTAAATTCATCGGTCTTGCCTCTCTCGAAGTCATCGTGGAAGAGCCTATCCAACTTGATCTTCTTAGAGGTGACTTGGTTTTCGTTGTGGAGGATGATGTAGATGTTGGCATCCGTACCAGCGCCTTTTAGATCCCCAGTCTTAACCAGGATCTTATAGTGGGTGTGTGCACCGGCCAAGTTGTCCTCTGACGACGCCTCTTTCATCCCATTGCCCGGACCATCTTCGACATCGTCAGGCCCACCACGACAACACGGAAACAAACAAGCCATACTGGAGTAACTACTGCCGTCAACTTAACTTTGATATATGTTACCGAAGTCACAAAACTCACTTCGTCACCGAGAACGCTCCAAATCATGGGATATCACACCCAACACTGGTCACGATGTGGCCAACAGCAGGTAGAGCTTATGGCGTGTCAGCTCCCAACAATGCAAAAATTCTACCTTGCTTCGCTGAACAGGAAAAAAGGAATACGGACGTATCCCGTCCCAAGCACCCACTGTGATAAATGGATTCGCAACACATGAAAGGAAGTTGACAACAGTGAAGGACGTCATCTCATGAATATGCAAACTACAGCTTTGACCCGACATTTTTATGCGACCACATCCCAGCCGTATTCATGCCGTTAACACCAAGGGATTTGTATAGTCGTGCTAAAAAAAATAATAATGGGATTTTCCAGACCTTTGACCGTTCATCATTCAGTCAATGTGAAGTTATTTTGTTTAAAAAGCTAACAAAAGTTGCCAATCCTTCGAACGCTGGAGTTTATATATTTCCTGGAATTGATTTGTGTGTTATGGAAAAGAATTGAATACATTCAAACATTAAACTTTTTACGCCGGAAAGCAAGATTAGGCCAGAGAACACTGGTGCTATACATGTAGGAGACTATCTCGTTATTATGCGACCATGCACATCCAATCTATAATCGGTCCGTTTAACATCAATGGGACTTTCATTTTATAAAGTGGAGCTAAAAAAATTAATGGGCATATTCCAAACTTTTGACCATGGGGTGATGAGGTACTCCATCATTTAGTCAGATGTGATATTTTGGTTCAAAAAGCCAACAAAAGCGTCATTCGAGAGCTGGGATGTATGTATTTTCTAGAATTGATTTGTGTATTATAGAAAGGAATCATATCAGTTTTAAACATTGTATTTTTCACATCGAAAACAGATTGCAGAGTAATGTGTGTTGATTAGGTAGACTGTATCTCGCTATGGCAATGACTTTATATCACCACCCTACATCATGCGCCTGCAAAGTCACGTGCCGCTCATAAGGTTAATGAGCGAAACAATTCTATTTGTTTCATGTTTCCGTTGCAGTACAGCTATCTGTGGAGAACTTAAAATATAACATCCCGGAAAGAAACAAACATGGGGGAGTTTGATTTGTACAATGTGTTTCCAGATTCCTTTCATGTACTGTTATTATTGCAAGAATTATAAGTTCGTCAATCAAGCCTTCTTGATAGTCTTTCGTAAGAGAATCCAACTTCGATCGCCAGACAAGAAATGATCGATGCAGAGAAGACGGACATAATGTGTTTGAATGCATACGATTAAGGGCCTCGAAAACGGGAGGGCAGTATTTCTTTAACCTACGATTCAGCGTGTTAGCGTAGCCTTTGTACATGTACATGTGTACTTCGAATATTTGCGCTTGAAAACGGCAGGGACAAAATTCATGGTCAAGGGGCGTCCATGTTAATATTGTGCAAGGCCGATGTCACCAAAGCAGGATGGATAAATAAAGCCCGTCATAAGTTATTTGGAGTCTAGGCCATCAGGGGCTCTTCTCATCGTGACAGCAATGAAGGCTCCAATCCTCTCGGATGACTTGTGTTTCTTGTGTCCTTAAGCAAGACAGTTTGCCATGTTCTGTGCCTCATCATGAGTAGATTATGAAGCGAAAGATTTGGGCATTCAGTGTAATCGAGTTTCACTACACCCCCAACCGCCACGTCCGTGCCAAAACAATAACTCGTACTTCCCATTGAATTGTTAAAAGAGTGACTATATATACGCCCATCTGTCAGGCGTAATAATATCAATACGGCACTGCAATACTCCTTGAATTCGCCACATAATATGCCAGAAAGCAGCACGTACCTTCCATGACACGGATCGAATGTTAGTGATAAGCAGCATTTCAAGTGCAACATTCCTGCAGAGGTCACCAGGAAATCCAGACGAACTCTGGCTAAACATTACCAAAGCTGACAATGTTATCGGTTCCGTTTGTTTCGGTTCATGGTTTCCATCGTACATCCGGATCTGCTGCAGGCAGCTGCTCGTGTAGATTCCACGAAGTTTCACAACATGAATAACTTTGGGGAAAACCCCATCTTGGAAAAAGGGTTTTCCACAATTCCAGTCAATCGTTCGGGTGCGTGGACTTTGATCAGACATATTTATTTAATCCAATTACAGTTATGACTGATGGTGTAACTGACATGATGGCGTAAAGGCCACATTGTCGTCTTTTGAAAAAAGATGAAATACACTCATTACAAAGTGGAAATAAAGACATACATGTACACTAATGTATGCCGTCCATCTGCTATTCTAATGAAGGCTACTGGTGTTATACTTGGTCTGGGCAAGACCAACTGAAAACATTGACCCCGCTGTGAATCTAGTGATATTATTTAACACCTCAAATGTAATTTTAACACCAAGTGCAAAGTGTAAACCATGGATACCTGTGAGGGAAGACCAGGTGCTTGTGGCCTGAACCTGTAGCTTTTCTTGAACTCTTCCAGCTCCTCCTTCCTCTGCGTCTTAGCCAGAGGATCTCGCTGCGGCAAGACGGAGTCAAACTCCTTATACTGCATCTTCTTGTCAGCAGGAATCCATCGATGCACGGGGAAGATGCTCGGAGCTTTCCCCGTCTTCTTGCCAAATATGGAGACCTGGTGGACCTCGATTTTCTCCAGGTTTTTTCGACCCGCGAGACCGCACCGAACCCCGCCCGCTTCACCTTGACCGTGAACGAGTCCATCTGACCCCGCTCGAAGTCGTTCCTCCACAGGTTGTCCATTTTGATGTCTTGGGAGCGGGCGTCTGCGGCGTTGTAGAGGGCCAAGTAGACGTTGGCGTCGGTACCGGCACCGGCCCTGTCTCCGGTCTTAACCACCAAACGGTACCTCGACATCTTGGTAAACTCGGTGTCTTCTGCGTTCTTCAATTCTCCGCGTTCAGGTGCAATTGGCAACTATACATCACACAACCAAGCTGGACTTCTGGACCTTCTTTGGTGAATCACTCGGCTTGTTTCCAGGTAGTACTACTTGAACACGAATTGCCGAGTTTGTGTTGACTGACACATAGTAGTCAGGGCTTACAATCCACTTGACAGCCTTATCCTTATTACACCGATGGAACAAATATTTATTTTTGACTTTGACCGTATTTGATTTTTGGTTAACCACGTGATGAGTGAATTCTGACATCGTGTTTATTTTGTAATCAATAAAAAGAAAAGGCAAAAATACACAGTGACACCTTTTTGCATGGCGTCTAAGATGCGTCCAATTTTGTCGAAAATCTAAATAAGGTCTTGTATCACGTAGGAGTGAGGGTAGGCCTACAGGAACTTGCCATGTTTTACACAGAATAAAGTAAACTTAAAAGAACAAAAACACTCTGAATATGTTGCTCACGTATTAGGACAAATATATAAGTTGTCCCTTTACTTTCAGATGATTTCTTGCGTAAACACGTCGATGTAGCTATTATATAGAAAGTTGCACACACAATGTGTTAAAAAAAAATCATTTCGTGGAACATTGAATTGAATTTAATGGCACACGCACGATCACACCTAGTTTGATGTGCGCTGACCGCCATGAATTTGCCAACGCAATAAAGCAAACAACACGGCGTATATATTTGCAGACAAAGTGTTAATACTGAACTTGAGGTCAAGTGGAAATTCATAACCAGGAAGCGTTATCGTATTATTTCTGTGTTGACAAAGTGATCAGGAATTGAAGAATAAACGAATACCATGTACAGAGCAAACAACTCGATGAATACCGAAGCAATGTGGATGGTTGTTGACGGTAAAGATGCATGGACCCGGACTAGGTTAAAGGCACCCGTTTGCCAAAGACAAATCTTGTTCAACCAATACTGACCGAATATTCAAAAGAAGGTTGGGTACATCATCATCATTATTTTGTGGCCATCACCATCATTATCTTCATCTGTACGTTGAATAATTAATGCATGTATGTATTGATCTTGGACAGATAATTGTCCGCTTGTAGTTGGAGCTGAAATTGATGAGAGATTAGAAAAGTGGAAAGGTTTTTCGTCCTCCTGTGGCACTATAGAAAAATTCACGATAAGATTGAATAAGCCTGTGTACTAATGACGTCCCACTTTGTTTACGTGTGTGCTTTCCTATGGTGCTCAGTGGACCGTGGGCCCCCACTAGCTTCATAGGGAAGTGCACATGTAAACAAAGTGTGACGTCATTAGTACACAGGCTTATTGAAAACTAAATCGGACCTTAATTGGCAACTTGTAAGAAACAAATGGAAGTTAAACAAACTCGAAGCCTTGAGCAATTGACGTACCTGACAAGGCAGGCCTGGGGATTGGCTTTTGAATTTGTAAAACTCCTTCTGTTGCTCCAATTCTTCCTTCCTCTGCGTTTCTCTGAGCGGATCATTCTGAGGCAGAAGGGAATCGAACTGGTGAAACATCACCCTCTTCTTGGCCGGTATCCACCGATGAATGGGGAACTCGTACGGCCCCTTCTTGGGACCCTCCTTCGGTTTCTCATAGATGTCGATTTTATCCAAGTACCAAGGGTCGAAGGCGCCGTGCTGGTCCCGCCAGAGTTCGATCTTCGCGATGGCACCGAACTCGGCCGGGAGTTTGGCTTTGAACTTATCGGTTCTACCTCTCTCGAAGGCGTCGTGGAGGATGCGGTGGAGTTTGATCTCCTTGGAAGCAACTTCCTTTTCGTTGTGCAAGGTGATGTAGATGTTGGCATCCGTACCGGCGCCTTTACGATCTCCCGTCTTGACTAAGATTTTGTAGCGGGTGTGTGTAGCAGTAGCAGCCTTATCATCCGCCATGTTGCTAAAAAAAAAGAGCACCTGTTTGTATATGGGCTGCGCCAAGTCAGGGACAAATTCGGAAGTTCGTGATGATGTCCTCAGTCAGTATTTGGTGCACAGCCGTATACCTTTAAAATCCAGTCAACTAAGAGCAACTTAGCAGTGAGCAAATGTGACAATAAACTTTGCGACTGTCCTATACTCCCTGTTCCTTGCTCTACGATACTACCTACTAATAAAAACAACTATAGCCTCTGTGTTTACACACACTTTACAAGCCTACACATGTGGACCTATACCATCAACTGCTATGTCTGAAACCGGAAAACCTTGCACGCTATTGCGCTCCGATCCTCAAACACAATAAGTACTACAGAGTAGGCCTACGTATTGTATAAAAGGCCATGTCAAAA